TCTTGTGAAATATGAACAGTGAATAAAGGTGATCATAGAGGAATAGATGCCTTCTTATTGTAGTGTTGACAAGGAATATTAAAGCACTGGCTGCCAGAACAAATCTCTTTTGGAGATGTGCAGCGAGACTAGGATAGTGAGACTTGGTCTGCCATACTTAGGGCATGTTATCGGGAGGGGCCAGGCTTTGAAGCAGACATCATCATGCTTGGAAAACTGGATGGTCACAGGAGAGGGAGACCCTTGGGGCTAGATGGACTCAGTGACTGGAAGAGTGGACACAGTGGAGAATTTAAGGATGGCACAGGATCAGGCAAGGTTTTGTTCACTTGTTCAGATTATCTCTAAGTTGGAGTGAACTTCATGGCACCCTCTAAAAAACCACAATTATAGAGATTGGGACTAGGCTGGAGGTCAGAAGTTATGTAAACAGAGGTGGTAACTGCAGCATCTGATACAGTGAGCTTGCAACTATGGTTATAAATTTAATGGAGTGTTCTCTTCTAGCCTTTTCATATGGGAGGGATAGATATTTGTATTTGATCATTGTTACTGTCTGATGCATCCAAGTGATGAGGGTGAAAACAGATTTTTCAGGAATTAGGAAGGGCGATGGCGTGGGTCATTGGAGACTATAAAGTTATATTGGAGGGGCGTCAAGACAAGTTGTTAAGGCAGTTTGCACTTATGTAGTTAAAATAATAAAAGTAGAAGGCTGGTGAAAAAGAAGTTGATTCTTAAGATGGCTTGCAGTAGTTGCAACCATGGGCTCAGACATAATTGGGAGGATGGTCCAGGACTAGACAGGGCTTCATCTGTGGTATGGAGGGTGACTGTGATTGTGACTGACTGGATACAACTCAACAACATGCTCTTGTACATTCATAAATGTTAGTCCTCTTCCATTTGACCAGGAGAAGTGAAATGCCTTCTGGAAAGCCAATATTTAAAATAATGGAAAAGATTTATAGGTGACTGATTTACCAAGTTAAGGTGTTGGTTTGCTTGGCTCCACAATCAACACTCTTGGTACCAGCAGCCAAGAAATCAAGAGACAAGTTGCATTGGGAGAGTCAGCTGTCAGAGACCTCTCCAGAGTACTGAAGAGCAATGACATTAGTCTGGAGACTAAGGTGCGCCTGATCCAGGCCATAGACTTCACAACTGCTTGCTCTGCCTCAGAAAGCTGGATAATGACTAGAGATAATAGATAATTGATGCCTTTGAGCTGTAGTGCTGGAGACTAGTATTGCATATAGCATGGACTGCCAGGAGAACAAACAGGTTCATCCAAGAGAGGGTAAAACCAGGCTGCCCTTGGAGGCAAGGATTCTGAAGCTTTGTCTGACATACTTTAGGCATGCTGCAAGAAGGGACCAGTCCTTGGAGAGGAACATCATGCCTGGAAGGGTGGAGGGAAAGCGCAAGAGAGGAAGACCCTCGATGAGATGACTGATCGATGAGATGATTGATTCAATGACTGGAGTAATGAGTGTAGGCATGTCAGAGACAGTAAAGTTGGCACAGGACAGAGCAGATTTCAGAGCTATTGTACATAAAGTTCTATGAGTTGCAGCTGACTGAACAGCACGTAACAACAGAAAAACATATTAAAATAATATTTCTAATAGGAATAGAGTCCTATTCAAAATGTTTTTGTTATGTGTCATTGAGTTGCCCGTGACTCACAGCGACTCTGTGTACAGTAGTTCTGAAGCCTGCCCTATCTTGAGCCAGTTTCACTCACTCTGATACACGTAATCCCACTGTTTCAGTTACAGAGTCAATCCATCTTATCTGGGGTTGTCTTCTCCTGCACTATCCCTCCACCTTTCCAAGCATGATGTCCTTCTCCAAGGACTGGTCCTTCCTGGCCATGTGCCCAAAGTATGTGAGATGGAGCTTCAAAATTCTAAGTTAAAACTTGGTTTCACTCTATCCAAGATAGTTCTGTTTATTCTCCTGTTAGTCCATGGTATGTTCAACATTCTTCTCCAGCACTACAACTCAAAAGCATCAATTCTTCTGTCATCTTATTCATTGTCCAGCTCTCTGATGCATAGCAATTAACTGCAAAGACTATGGCCTGGATTAGGCACACCTTAGTCTCTAGACTGACATCATTGCTCTTTAGCTAGATGTCTATTAAGAAAGGAACTCTAGTGGTAAAGGAAATTGCGCTATCAACCTAAAGCCACACAGTTTGAATCTATGAGCTGCTTTGCTGGAGAACGATGGTCATTCTCCTGTGTGATTTATAGCCTCTGAAAACATTCTAGAGGGTCAGCTATGAGTCAGTTTTGACTTAATGGCACCTAACAACATCATATTTTTTATATAAAAATATAAAAAAAATATGTTGTTCGGTGCCATTAAGAGGGAAGACCCTCTATGAGATGGATTGATTTGGTGACTGGGGTAATCGGGATGGGTGTATCAGAGGCAGTGCGGTTGGCGCAGGATAGAGCAGGGTTTAGGGCTGTTGTGCATAGGGTCGCTATGAGTCGGAAACGACTCGACGGCACATAACAACATCATATATGCATGTGAAGGTTGGACAGTGACTAAGGACGGCTAAGGACCCGAGGTCTTAGAATTGTGTGTGTGTGGTGAACTCTGGTGGCCTAGTGGCAAGAGGCTGCACTGCAATCTCAGAGGTACACGGTTCGAATCCACCAGATGCTCTGCTGGAGAAGGAGGAACAGTCTCTTCCTGTATCAGATCTGATTTGATGGTACACACAAAAAAAATTAATGAAATAAAATAAAATTAAAAAAAAAAGAATTGTGTGTGTGGGGGGGCAGGAATGTTGACTATCTTATGGACTGTCAAGAGAACAAACAAATCTGTCTTCAAGGACGTGCAACCAGGGTGCTTCTTGGATGCAAGATGGTGAAACGTTATCCTGCATTCAGTGGGCGTGTCATGTGGAGTCAGTGTCCTTGGAAAAAGACCAGCTGGGAAATGTAGAGAGTATAGAAATAGAGGAAAACCATCAATGAGATGGATGGACACTGTCCCTGCAGCACTGGGCATGAGTGTGGTAGGGACCGGGATCATGGTGCTGGTCAAGGTTTCAGCGTTTTTCATAGGATTTTTCATGAGGAGTAGTAGACTTGAAGAGAACTAACACCATGTATCTTATATGAATAATACCTGTGGTCAGGAATAATTTGATTAATATGAATTATGGTTAATTCCACCAAGTGCATTGCTAATTTATGTATTGGTTTCCTACTTGAATAGCAGTATAAACACTAATTTACACTTTTGTTTAAGTGATCAGACATTGGAGGGAAAAAAAGATCCTGTGTATCTATGATCAGGTAAAATTGTAATTCTAAAAGCTGTTTCAGACAGCCTAAAATTCTTATATCCTTGTTTCTTTTAACTTGTAGTATTAGGTATCCATCCAGTTTTTAAGATAATGGAATGTGAATGACAAGACTACTTTGTTAGTGGATGTGATTTATAGAATGTAATTTATAATCTTTTTGGCTAATTGAGTTTTCCCATGCATTTATTTATAAAGGAGAATAAGGACTATAATTTCAAGGACAGTTTTATAATAAAAGTGCCAATATTTTTTGGCTTGCATTTGAAAGTTTCATTAATACATAAATTCATATTCACTACTGAGATCTTGCCTATCTTACCATACATTGATTATCACTCATTAGTTTAAATTTTTAAATTCTTTTTTTTTTTTTTGCAAACGGCAAGAATGCTTTATTTTTCAGAACAAACTCTAGCATGCAGGAGTCTATCATTCAATAGAAATTGGCAATCCTAGGTGAGGGAAATTTTTAAATTCTAAGCCGTAATAGAGAAATATGTATAGGAGACCATTGGTGACATTATCTGACTGTATTACCGGACTTTTGGCTTCATTCTCTTAAGATTTTTTAAAACAGTATTATGATAGGAAGCAACAGACTTTTTACTCTGATAAAAATCAAGAACCAAACTGAGTCTTTCACTGTAGTTCTGTAGTTTTTTTAAAAACTCACTTGTAATAAGCAACAGTTTGTATCGTACAGTTAAGAGATCATCATGTAAGTTATTTAAATGTAAATTTTTTTCTTTAGCAATATCCCAGCTTTTTTTCTATGTATGTGCTCAGGGAACCTGAGCATAAATTTAAATATCCTGAATACAAAAGAATGATAAATAAGATCTTCACACATAAATGTATTTTGACGTCATATTGCCACTAGACAGCCTAATCTGGGAAGTCTGCAAGTTCTGCTTTTAAGTTCATAACTAGGTGTTTATATGTAGTTGGGCTTGCTTTCCTTCTAAACGTTCCTTTACTAATTTTTCTAAAGAGAAAAGGTGCTCGTCTGCATCTTCTGGCACAAGGTTCCTAATAGAATTTGCAAGTTCAAAAAGATACTCTGTATTTCTTCCACTTGGGCCAACTGCATTAAAAATTTGTTCAGCAATGTCTTCCAGCGGGGCAGGCCCAAGATAATTGGGGTTATCACATGTTCCAATGTATAACAGCACACTGAACGGCTCTGCTGTGGGATCTTTTGGGTAGAAAATGACAGTTTCATTCCTGTATCCTCCTTTCTCTCTGAAGTCAAGGTACGCTTTTACTTCATCTTCCTTTCCTGTTGGCAGTTTGTAGGCAATGCCCCATACACAACCCTGTTGAAAACAAACGAATAATCCGTTAGAATGTATAAGGCTAAAATTATCCCAACTGTGTTGTTGTTTTTGTCCTGTACCTTCAAATCGGAACCGACCCATAGCTGACCCTACAGTGGGTTTTCAGAGGCAGTAAATCACATGGAAGGAGATGGCCCATCCTTGTCCCTCAGCAGCTGATGGATTCAAACTGCGTGCCTTCGGGTTGGCAGCTAAGCTCCTTAACACTAGGCCACCACCGCTCCTTTGCAATAAACAATGTGTTATGATTTTGGGAGATAGATCTTCTTAGGTATCAGTACAGGTTTGCCACACTTAAAGCTCAATGAAGAGCTACATCACAAATAAGGAAAAGCAACATTTAAAATGACTGATTTTTTTGGAATAATTTTCTTGGGTGGCATAACACACAGCAGGATGGTTACCTTTGTTTACTTCGAGTTTTGTCTGGATCTGAGTATTGGGAGCTGGTTAGGAAAGTGCTGACATCCCATCAGAGTGTAACTTTTATCTTTGTAAATATTAAGTAGCTCCTTGTTTGAAAAAGAGCTCTGTGTTTTAAAAGTTCTACAGTAATCAACTATTGAAAGCCCCAACAAATTTTTATTTTATGCACTTAGTAATTTTAAATAATGTATTTTAAAATAATTTATTAACTTTAAATAATGAAATTGTAAATAAAGTAAATGTTTTTTTTTAAAGTAAATGTTTTTATCCAGAAAATGCCAGCCTCTTTTGTAGAGAGTATACAAAAATAAAACATGAATAAGAAAGAATGTACTTCAGTGGCAAAACATAACTGTTTTAAATATTTGTTAAAGCCTATCTTTTTAAAAACACAGAACTCTCTCTTTCTACAAAATTAAAGAGATTATTTTTGTTATTAAGAAAATACCTGTGATATAAATAAGCAATATTTATAGCTTATAAAACACATTTTCTAGTTTACTGACAACCTTTGGTTATGAAATGCTGGAGAAGAGTATTGAATATATCATGGACTTTGAGGAGAACAAAAAAGTTTGTCCTAGAGAGAGTGAGACCAGGCTGCTCCTTGGAGGCAAGGATTCTGAAGCTTCATCCGACATAGTTTGGACATTGTTGCAAGGTACGACCAGTCCTTGGAGAGGGACGTCATGTTTGGGAGGGTGGAGGGACACACAGGAGAGGAAGACCCTTGGTGAGATGGATTGATTCCGTCACTGGGGTAATGGGGGTGGGAGTGTCTGAGACAGTGAGATTGGCACAGGATAGAGCAGGTTTTAGGGCAGGCGTCTTGATGGCCCATAACAACAAGAAGTAAGATAGGATGGGGTTCAGATCTGTTCATAGGGTCACTCACTATGAGTTGTACTCAACAACAACAGGAAGAATCTTCTGGAATCAATAAGAATTCTATAAAAACAAAATACCATATATTTATTAGCTAGTTAGGAGTTATAGTACCCAGTTAAAGCCTCTTCTGATGCTTTTTCTTGTGTAAATTATGACAGCATTTCCTGTCATCATCCTTATTCACATTATTCATCTGTTGTTGCTAGACGCTTTGTGTTTCTACATTAACATCTTTCCCAAAGTTAAGTCTTCCCTCCCGCAAAGTTATGTCTTTGATTATTAAGTCTAAAGTTAGAAAATACCTAAGAAACTGAAAACTAGGTAAATAAAAAAGATTTTCTGGTACTCTGAACCTTTAAGAAGTACACCGTATCAGATACTATTGATAAAATTATGCAGTCAGAAGAGAATTCCTGGCGGAGGTTTCTGTTGAAAATATTTGAGTTTTAGCAAAGTTTCAGGGTTCCATTTGATTCTTAATTCTAATTTTACAACATGGAGCTGTCTCCAATACTGCCAGAAAAGTGGGGCAGCGGGGGGAAGTTACTGCTGTCAAGTCCATCTTGACCCCTACTAACCCACTTAAGGTAGAGCTGAATTGCCCTGGAGGGTTTCCGAGACTGTAAATCTTGACGGGAGCAGAATGCCTCATCTTTCTGCCCTTCCTGCTGTACTATTGGAGGGTCCTGCAGAAGTACAGATGAACAAAACCCTTAAGGAGAAAAAGCTCCGTGCCTTTGGCTTTATTTTGCTTTTTTTCTCTTATAGTCTGCATGTGCAACTTTCCACACTAGCCTCATTTTTCACACAAATAAGTTAAAGGAAACAGCAAATACAGAGATGAATTCTATATAAGAAGAATAAAATTTGTCTGTGGTGACTGTTAAAGTCTTTGGTCACTAAGTCTGAGAAAGATCATTTAATATTTCATAGGATTAAAGACAATACAGAAAGAATAATCATACCCCAGGATCTTCAACAAGTGTCACAACTCTTCCAGGCTATTTGAGAGAGAAAAAAAAAGTTAAAAAGAAATCCAGAATGAATGTTCATTAAATAGTCAAGCATAAATACCTTACTATTAGCATGTAATATTTTTAACTGCATTTGTCCAGACTAAAAACTTCTTTAAGGTAAATTAAAGAAAGGACTCCACTTGATCCAAGCTATCATAGTTTTTCTCAAATATTTCCAATAATTTTTTTGTATCAGATAAAGTGTATGTTCTCTTAACATGCATATATTAAAAAATACACCAGTAATTTAAAGTGCATCTAAAATTCAAACGCAGACTGAAGCCTTAATTTAGTAATAGTTCTGTCCTCTTCTCTTTTAGGAAATGAGACTGGTACAATGTATTCCTGAAGGAACAGGTTCTCATATTTCAGGGCTGCAGTTATCCGGAGATTTTGATAAGCACACGTTGCCTGGCTCCCCCCTCCCTATTTCCAATTCTGTAGGTCTGGAATGGTTTGAGAATTTGCATTTTTAACAAAGTCTCCTGTGTGCCATCACTTACACTGGTTTAGGTAATGACACTTGGAGAACACTGCTACCAAGGGATACTAACAGGTCTTAAAACATGAGAGATGCTCTCACCTTGCTACCTTTTGTAATGGGTGCTTCCTGGAGGCCTTTTCCATTAACAAATGAAATTTTACTTGGCCCTGTGAAGGGGTTCCAGTGCTCTCGTGGCCTAGGAGTAAGGAGCTGGGCTACAATCTTAAAGGAACATGGTTCAGATCCACCACCTGCCTCACCTTCTCTTCTGTGTGGTTAAGTTGCCTTTGAAAACCTGCTGGAAGGTGAGTTATGAGTCAGTTTAGACTCTATGGTAAACAACAGCATCATGAAGGAGTTAGGGAGCTCTGGTGGCCTATTGGTTAGAAGTTGCACTGCAAGTCCAAAGGCACCCGGTTTGAATCTGCTGCTCTCGTGGGCGAAGGATGGGCAATCTCCTCACTTTCGATTTACTGCTTCAGAAAAGCAACTGGAGGGTCAGCTGTGGGTTGGTTTGGACTCGAAGGTATAAAACAACATGAAAGGGCTGATGTTAGGATCAGTGTGTTCAGAGTTTCTGGTTTATTGTCAGTTAGACCACCCAGGGCTCCAGGCACATTTATTTTTCTAGTTTAATATGTCAGTTAACAAATATATATATATATGTCAGTTAACAATTTCTTAGCTATCAGTGATTCACATTTTTCACTAGAGAAAAACTTATGAAAAGTAGCTCGAATTTATGTCTAACGTAACATTGTAAGGAGACACTATCAAGCAAAAACTATTTTCTCATTTCAAGGGTGTGGGGTTAGAGAAATAATCTATGTAGAAATAGAAAACTTTACAAAAAGTTGAGTCTTGAAATATTCCATAATTTAAATCACAGTGGTGGTTTAAGCCAGTGGCTACAAGTTTTTCTTTATAAATATCTTTACGGGGTGTCAAAAGCTGTATGTTTACTGACAGGTTAACATTACTAGTGAGAATGCTGAATTGTAAGCAACAATTTTACCTACTTTTGGGCCAGTGCCCTTAAGAATTGTGAACTTGAAGCATTCAGATTTGTGTCATTTTTGTTCATTTCCTTCTAGATTTTGTCTTTGTTATGTGCTGTTGAGCCACTTGCGATTCATATTGACCCTTTGTACAACAGCCCTGAAAGCTGCTCTGTCCTGTGCCAACTATATACTGTCTTCGACACACCTACCCTCATTACCCCATTGTGTCCACTCCATCTCATTGATAGTCTCCCTCTCTTTCTCTGTTCCTCCATCCTTCCAAACATGTAATTAAGGAACACAGGGATATTGGATTATGATTTCCAACTGTATTTTCCTATACTACTAAAATACTTTTTTATATTTTTTGAGATTTTAATGAAAGTTTATAGAGAACTTGGATTTTCATTCATTGTTGCACATTTTCCTCCCTGCCTACCCCCTTCTCCCAGTTTGCTTTTCTTTTTGGGAAAAAAAAATTCTTGTTAGACAGTCCCCTCCCTTCCCAGTCCACTCCACTATGCAACTCTTATTCTGGACTCTTGTCATGCATATAATACCTATTTTAACCAGTTCTCTCCATCATCTGTTTTAGTGTACATTATTTATTCCCACTTTTCTTAGTTTCCCGCCAAATCCGTTGTCAGTCCTGTTTTATAACAGGAGCATTATACAGTATTTTTCCTTTTGGGACTGAGATATTTCACTTAGCATAATGCCCTTCAGAGTCCCCATTTTGTATATTTCATGAGTTCCTTGTTTTTCAATGCTGCATAGTCCATTGTGTGAATATACCACAGCTTCTATGTCCATTTGTTTGCTGATGGGCACTTGGGTTGTTTCCAACTCTTTGCTTTGTGAACAAAGCAGCAATAAATATGGGTGTGCACATATCTCCTTGGGTGGCTGTTCTGGTTTCTTTAGGGTATATTCCCAGTAGTGGAATTGTTGGGTCAAATGGTATTTCTATTTCCAACTTTTTGAGAAAGCAACATACTGCCTTCCACAGTGGTTGCACCATTTTACACTCCCACCAACAGTGAATAAGGGTTCCAGTTTCTCCGCAACCTCGCCAGCATTTGTTGCTTGTGGCTCTGTTGAATTTTGCTCTGACTGGGGTGAGATGATATCTCATAGTTGTTTTGATAAAATACATTTTAACACTTGCATTTTGTGTGTGCCATTGATGAACTATGATTTAAAACCCTCCTGTATCATTGGACATTTATATTTCTAACTTTTCTCTTTAAGATAATGCTAATAGACTTTATGATTATCCTAAGAGTCTGAAATGAGGGATGCAGAATGAACTATACTTGGGGTGGGGGTGGGGGATTGTATACCAATGAAGGAGTTTTTCGCTTTTCAAGGAGAAGAAAGAACTGGGGTGGGGTGGGCGGGGAGAAAAGTGCAGCAATGAATGAATGGGTTCATTGAAATTAATAAAATAAAAAAATAAAAAGATAATGCCAATAGACAAACATGTCTGTTCTGGAGGAAGTATAGCCAGGGTCCTCCCTAGGGATAAGGATGGTGAAACGTCATCCCACTTACTCTGGGCGTGTTGTCAGGAGGTGCTAGTCCTTGGATAAAAGGGTCTGAGAGAGAGGAAGACCTTCAGTGAGATGGACTGACACAGTGACTTCCGGTGGGCCTGAGCAAATTAGAGATGACGAGGACGGCACAGGACAGGGCAAGGTTCAGGTCTCCTGTTCTTAGGGTCAGCATGGAGACGCCATCTAACACACGAAGATGCATATAGCAGTATGGAGCATGTTATCCACACATTCTGTCAGTTAAAGAAAAATTTTTCTGGTCCTCTAAAATAAATCTATTTAAAAACCATTCCATATCCAATGATACTGATAAATTAGGTAGTATAGAGATGATTCCAACGTAGGCTCTTCATGTTACTTTCAACCTCAATTAGAGTCACTATGCCACTGCACTGATTCCCACTAGTAGTGACGCTGTATGACAGAGTAGCCTGTCCCCATAGGATCGGCTAGGCTGAAATCCTTTGGGGAATGGACTGATAGGTCTTTTCTCCTGAGGAATGCCTTGGTGGGTTTGAACCAGTTACCTTCAGGTTAGCAGCCAAATGGTTAACCATTGTGCTACTGGAGTTCGTTCCAAAATCAGTTAAAATAAATCAAACTCTACTGTTGAGTCAGAAGTGACTCATAGCTGACCCATCAGTTTTCTAAGGCTGTAAACTGAATGGGAGGAGACAGCACATCTCTCCTGTGAGTGGCCGGTGTCTGTGAACCATGGGAAAGTGCCTCCTTTGGTCAGCGGCCCAGCTCCCTACTCGGTCAGTGAGCAGCTGTTTCTTGAGAAGATAAAACTTTGATTCTTGCTTCCAAGAGCTTTCATGGTGATGTCGCAATACAAAGTAGCTTGGGAACTAAGTAGGGAGGACTTACGGGTTAGGATGTATGCTCTTGATTCATTTCAGTAAAAATTCTGTGAGTAAGGTAGCCAGAAAGGAAGACAATTTTGACAAAAGGACATCAGGCCAATGAGGGCCTAGGGGCAGGACTACACATGACAGAATGTGTGACTGTAACACAATGTCCCTCATATGAGAGAGGATGAAGAAAGATACTGGATACATAGGATAGAACCAGATTTTAAAAGCCAGTAGAGGGAGCAGAAATTCAGAGAGCAATGGAAACGGAGAAACCACTGAAATTTAGGAAGAACTGGAGATAAAGAGCTTCTGGTGACTGCATTAGGAGCCCTATCAGTACTTTTTTCCCCCAGATTATTTTATTATTTTTGTGTGTGTACCATCAAATCAGATCTGACTGGTACAGGAGGAGATTGCCCCTCCTTCTCCTGCAGAGCATCTGGTAGATTCGAACCGTGCACCTCTGGGATTGCACTGCAGCTTCTTGCCACTAGGCCACCAAAGCTCCCTTCCTGTCAGTACTTTTAAATGCTTAGCTGCTAGTTAAAAGGTTGGTGGTTTGAACCCACGAGCCATCTTGTCAGGAGACGTGTAGACGGCTGCTTCTGTCAGGATTTTACCCTGGGAACCCCATGAGGCATCGCTGACCTGTCCTGTTGTTACATGCCATTGCCACTGAGTAGGAGCAGATCATAGCTGACCTGTCAGCACGTTTTCTGAGGCTGTAAATCGCAGACGGAGAGGGCCCATCTCTCTTGCATGGAGTAGCTGGTGGATTTGAACTGCTTGCCTTGGAGTTGGCAGCACATCTCCTTACCCACTAGGCTTCCGAGCTCCCTACTCTCTCTTCTAAGGCTTCTCGAAGCCAGAAGTGACTCAAGGTAGTAAGTAGGTTTTTGGTTCTGGGGACTGAGAAACAGCTGACGTGTGTGTGATTAAAGGAGTGTTTGGAGAAGATTAATTTGGTGAGTTAAAGTGGAAGGAGGAAGATGTTTAGTAAAAAAATGTTAGTGGTTCAAGTGACAGGTTCTGGTTTCGACCGCCCTTTGCCTCTCCTGACATTCTGCCCACCTGTAATTCCTGGCAGTGCTGTCTTTCCAGTATCTTTTGAATCCTATTCATCCCTTGGTAGCCTTTTTAGGGATTTCCCTGTCTCTAGCTTTGCTTTCTTCTAGTCTCTTCTCTTCATGGCCTCAAAATTAATTTATGCTACAGAAATTTTTAATATCCTGGTGCCTGCTGGAGCACCAGCAGTCAGGAAATCAAATGACGAATTGCATTGGGGGAGTCTGCTGTCAGAGATCTCTTCAAAGTGCTAAAGAACAATGATGTCATTCTAGAGACTAAGGTGCACCACCTCCAGCCATGGTCTTCATAATTACTTGCTATGCATCGGAGAGCCTGACAGTGACTGAGGATGACAGAAGAAGAATTGATGCCTTTGAGCTGTGGTGCTGGAGAAGAGTCTTGAACATACCATGGACTGCCAGGAGAACAAATAGGTCTGTCTTGGAGAGACATTTCTCCTCGGAGGCTAGGATTTTGAAGCTCCAGCTCACATTCTTTGGGCACATGGCCAGGGGGGACCAGTCCTTGGAGAAGGATATCATGCTTGGAAATGTAAAGGACAGACAACGCAGGAGAAAGAGCCCAGATGAGATGGACTGACTTGGTAACTGGGGCAATGGGATTAGGTGTTGGAGTCAGTGAGACTGTCTAAGGACAGGGCAGGCTTTAGAGCTGTTGTACATAAGGTTGCTATGAGTCGTGGCAACTTGATGGCATATCAACTACTGGGAGCTCTGCCATTGCCTTTGCTTTTGTTGTTGTTGAGTGCTTTGGAGTCAACCACAGCGCACAGTGATCATATGAACCATGGATCCGAACCCTGCTCTATCCTGTGCCACCCTGACCATTTCTGACACAGTAGAGCCCACTGCTAAGAGCCACTGTGTTAGTCCATCAGGTTGAGGGTCTTCTCTTCCCTCATTGACCCTCCATCTTTCCAAGCATGATGCTCTTTTCCAAGAACTGGCCCCTCTTAATAACCTGCCAAGAGTTTGTAAGTCAAAGTTTCACTGCCTTTGCCTCCAAGGAACACCCCGGCTACACCTTTTCCAAAACACATTTGTCCTTTTGGCAAGTCTACTGGATATTCAGCATCAGCACTCTTCTCCAGCACAACTCAAAGGCATCGATTCTTTGTCTGTAATCCTTATTCACTGAAAATGTCTGGACCACGTGCACCTTAGTCTTCAAACTGCCATTATTGCTTTTCAGTGCTTTAGAGATGTCCCTGACAGGAGACTTTCCCTATATGTCTTTTGATTTCCTGGTTGCTGGTGTTAAGAGTGTTAACAGATCCAAGCAAGATGAAATCATTGAAAGTTTCTAGCTCTTCCCTACGGGGATGTTGCCTGTTGGCTCCGTGGTGAGGACTCTGTCTTCTTGTTGAGCTGTAACCCATATTGAAGGCTGCAGTTTTTGAGCCTCTGTAGCAAGCTTTTCAAGTCCCTCTTATTTTCTGCAAGTAAGGCTGTGTCATCTGTTTAACGCAGGTTGTTGATGAGCCTTCCTGCAATCCTGATCCCACACTCTTCTTCAGATAGTCTAGCTTCTCAAGAAATGTGCTCAGCATACAGATTAAAGAGGTACAGAGAAGGCATACACATGGGGCAGGTAGGTAGTGCCCTGATGCACACCTTTCCTGATTTTTAACTATGCAGTGTTCCCTTGCTCTGTTTGTACCACAGCTGCTTCGTGTAGGTAAAAGTTTCACATGACCCAATGAAGAGTTGTGGGATGTTAAAATGGATATCCCAAGAGACTCTGCAAATTGTAGTAGAACATTGAGAAGCCAAAACAAAGGGAAGAACTGCTGAAGTAAAAGGGATGAGTAGAAGATTTCAAAGGAAAGCATGAGCTGCAAGGAAGCAGCAGTGTGGAGGGAACAGAGTGATCTGAAAACCCAGCCGGCACCATGAGCCTCCTCAACAAAGCCAGGAGTGAGATGACCCTGGAGGAGCTGCAGAAGTGGAGGAGGAGTTTAACACGGCCCACTGTCCATGCTCACACAGTTGGGAACAACACGCAGTGTTCATCAACTGTCACAACAAGAAGCCCCTGGGCTGCGTGAAGGCCTTTGACAGACACAGCAACCTGGTGCTGGAAAAGGAGATGTGGACCGAGGTCCCCCAGAGCGGCAAGGGCAAGAAGTCCAAGCCCACAACAAGGACCACTAGACCTCTCAGATGTTCCTGCGTGCGGACTCAGTCATCCTGGTTCCAAAGACCCCTGGCTCATCACTAGCAAGTAGGGCCACTCCCGCCTCCGTCTCTATAGCCCTGCCCCACAACCACCTCCTGGCTCCTGCTGCCCCTGCAAGACCTGCCCCATACTGGCAATAATAATGTCCCTGTGTGGTTTTTCTACTAAGAGAATTAAAAGGATAGCATGAGAGGACAAAGCAAAGTATTATGAAAAAATGTGCAAAGAGCTTGTTTGCTCAACATTTCTCAGACTGAAAGATTCCTGAAAAACAATTTCAAGTCTGGAGTCACAATAATAAAGCAACAAAGGAAGATGGAAGGAGTGCACTGAGTCACTGTGTCAAACAGAATTGGTGGACACCATTTCAGGAAGTAGCATGTGACAAAGAACCAATGGCAATGAAAGACATTCAAGCTGCCTTGAAGGCATTAGCAAAAAAAACAAAGGCCCCGTGAATCAATGAAATACCAAACTGATGTGTTTCAACACATTTACCTCTAGGCATGCTTACCAAGCTATTTCAGGAAATTTGGAGAGCAGCTACTTAACCATTTGGAAGAGATAGTATTTGTTCCTATTCCAAAAAAAAGGTGGTTCAATCTTTTTAGATTACCAAAAAGAATGGATGTTACCAAGAGGGACATCAGTGCTTGGAAGAGTGGAGGGACAGCGGTAGAGGAAGACCCAGGATGAGATGGATTGACTCAGTGAATAGGGTAATGAATGGGTTTAGGTGTGTCAGAGACAGTGAGGTTGGCTCAAGACAGAGCAGGGTTCTGAGCTGTTGCACATAGGGCGGCTGCTATGAGTCGCAAGCGACTTGACAGCACATAACATCACTTATATCACATGTTAAGTAAAGGCTTGCCGAAGATTATTTAAAAAACATCTAGAACAGTACATTAGCAGAGAACTGTCAAAAATTCAGGCTGGATTTAGAAGAAGCCACGGCATGAGGGATATCACTGCTGATGTCAGATGGATTTTGGCTGAAAGAAGACAATACTCTAAGGATGTCTATTTGTGCTTTATTGATTATAAAGGCTTTTGACTGTGTAGATTTGATGGCTGACATTGAGAAAAAGCATGCAAGGCACACAATTTAAATCCACCAGCACCTTTGCAGGAGAAAGGTAAGCTCCTGAGTGTTTTACTGCTTCTGAAAACCCACAGGAAAGATAGCTTTGGGTTGGTTCCCTTGGTTCTGACAACAACAAATGGCTTGTGTCACTAGAATATCTCCTAGCACTTCCTCCATGGCTAGCTTCCCAGGTAGATTTATCAGTTCCTTTGTCCAAGTTCTGCTGCCTCTTTTTTTCATTCCTCAGTTACTGCTATTTGCTACTCAGTTGTGACACTGCAAAGGGGGTGGAGGAGCAGGAAAGTCCTGGACTTAAGGTGTGACAGTGAGAAAAGAAAACAAGGATGGTATGTAATCTTTATAAAGGAAAAGAAAGCTGCTTCCTGTGAGTGTGTTGATCACACAAAAATGGAGTAAAACTGGCACTACTGAGATAGTTACTGGGAAATTCTAAAACTTCAGCTCTTTGCCCCTAAACAATGTTACTGGAAAATAATGTAAGATCGTAAATACAGTAAGTGCTTTTTTTGGCGCTGAAATGGAAAAAGAGGTCTTTCAAGCAGAATGAGATTATAGGATGTTGTAAACTATTTTTCCTTGGGTCATGAATGGTGTTTCTGAGTTAGAGCTTGAAAAGCTAGGGATTTAATAAATATTCATGATTATCTTTTGTATTAAATAGTTTTTCTTTCTGAAATGAGTACATTTCGTGCTTGAAGAAAATCTTTTACATTTAATAAAACCCAATTTTTGTGAGAAGCTGCCAGTAAAATATACAAATAAAGGAGATGAGATGAACTACAAAAGAATTTCTGAATTAAACTTTGGAAATTAAAGTTTAATGAAACCCAAAACAAAGCCTAATATAAGAAAACAAGTAGGATCAGTAAGACATTATCCTTCAAATGTCAGGCAGTACTGTGTGTGGAAACCAGTCTGACACTTGTGTAATAGTCTTATTTCATACGCCAATGATGTGACAAGCTGTTGTCTACCATTGAGTCAGAACTGACCCATAGCTGACCCTCCAACAGGTTTTCAGAGGCAGTTAATCACAAGAGAAGAGACTGCCCATCCTTCTCCTGCAGAGCGGTGGGTGTATTTGAACCTTCTGTCTTTGGGTTTGCCACAGTTTCTAACTATTAGGCCACCAGAGCGCCCTATGATAGACATAGTAACTTATTAAGAGCATATTTTGCAACAAAAAGCATAGAGCATTGTAGCATATCTGCCATTCTCCTAACAACATTCAGAACTTCTGCAGACTTGTGTGTCAGTTAACATTTATATAAAGCTGAAAACTCACGAGACTCATTTACACAATGAAAAACATGCAGTAAATCTAGATGTTCCTTCCAGTGTTGTTTTGTTTTTAACAGAACAGTATACTTAGAAAATATTTAGTACTTAGATGCAGACTTGGCTTTTTTAGCTCCCTTCTTTTTGAAAAATACACGCTCTTGTATGACTCAGCCATTTCTTGGCTTCAGTGTGTTCTGACAGTGCATATATCTTGATATGCTGGGGGGAAAAACCCACTCAGATCATACGTTTTGGTTAAGAGTACAATATTAAAATAAGCCCTAATACCTACATGTAGAAATAATACTTGGGAGCTTTTGGGCGAAAGCTTTTCTCTGCAGAATGGCAATTTTATACATTATATAAAGTAGTCACCCCTCATCCTGTCTTAAGTAATTTTTCCCAGCATCTCAACAGGCCAAAATACTCTACTCTAATGCCCTGTCTTAATTGACCAACCTTATCTGAGAATGGCTCTTTAACACAGATTCTCCTGATTTGAATCCTGCTTTTGAGGAGCAGGGTACATAGTACATTGCCCTAAAGCCTTTCCCCTTTCCCTTGACGGTGTAACACGAATCTCTCCTGCTTTTTTCTAGTAGACTTTTTTTTTTTTTAAAAAAAATAGAGTAATAATGCCTATGTAAGTTTTGGCAGTATTTCAGAGAAAAAAGCCAAAAAGGATATTTTGTTACTTCTTCCAAAGTTAACCCAAATTTAGTATTCTTTAGCGATTCAAGTAGCTTTGTGCTAACACAAGATTTGTTTGGATAAACAGTCATTTGTATAATCAGTAATTCCTTGAATGCATGTATTGAAAATTAATGCCTTGCTGGGTGATTGGCTGAAAATGAAATAAATTTCAGATTCACAATTTAGGACAAACAACGGGCAAAGTTAATATTAACTATTTCAGACTGTATGGACTTGGAATTGTTTTCATTTATCTAATGGGGGTCTTTGATAAAAAGAAACTCCTTAATAGCGCGATAATTTCGGAAATGACCTCTTTTGTGACCTTAAATGCCATATAACCTTTGGAATGTTTTAAAGAAGTTCCAGAAATAACCTGCACGTTTCAGCCCAAACCAGTAAGAGTGGCCGTAGGAAGATACGCCAGCAAATTTAGATGCTCAACAGCCCAATTCTGGAATTGATATCAGTGTTTCACCTCCGTTGTGACTTGAAGATTCCTGTTCAGTTTAACTTTTCCTTTTTTGGGGGGTGGAGGGCAGAGGTTCTCAAGAAATGGGGCCCCTTCCATGCCCGTGTGAGCTTCTGCCCTCTAGAAAGCTAGCATCACTGGAGGCTTTAGAAGAGTGGCCTTGGTTTGGGGACAGGTGGCCCAGGAGGACAATAAATTGCTTACACACACACACACACACACACACACCCCAGGGGACACTAAATTGCTTACACACACACACCCAGGGAGTTCTGGTGGCCTAGTGCTAAGAGTGGCCTTGGTTTGGGGACAGGTGGCCCAGGAGGACACTATATTGCTTTAATATACACACACACACACACACCCCGCCAAGGACATCAAATTGCTTTAATACACACACACACACACACACACACACACACACACACACACACACACGGGAGTTCTGGTGGCCTAGTGCTAAGAAGCTGTGCGGTATATCTCCTGCGGTTCGAATCCAGCGACGGGAGAAAGATGGGCAACCTCCTCTCCTGCACTAACTGCCTCTGAAAACCCCCTGGAGGGTCAGCTGTGAGTTGACCATCAACACCCACGTGCTGGGTCCCCAGGACGCAATTCGGTGGGTCCCACTCGCTGGCAGGGTTTTGGGGAGAGCAGCCCGGGGAGCGTGCGCGTGGGGGGCTGGCTAGCCGCCTCACCTTGCCGGGGACCCCGCGGTGGTCCGTGCTGCCCTGCCAGAAGCGTCTGCTGTAGCCCGTGATGCGCCCGACCAGTTTGTCCTGATAGGGGAAGTCCACCTTCCATATCAGGGACCCGTAACCAAAAACCCACATGCTCGGCCAGTCCTTGGCCGCGGGCCGGCACTGTCTGCTGGGGTCTTGGCAGCTCCGCCTGGACTGCCAGTTTCCGCACGCAGGCGCAGTGGTGCATTGCTGCCTGAGCACAAAGCACTCTGGGACTTGTAGTCCGAGGACTGTTTCCCGGAGCCGTCGCAATATTGTTTTGCTATTGTGGTCGAGGAAGAGGGTGCCGAAAGGCCTTGAACTTCTTCCGCGTATTAAGGAGTGGATTTATTCGCCGTCGTTGACAGTGGAGCGTACCACCCTCTGGTTAGCCAGCGGAGAAGACTACAATACCCACAGTCCTTTTCGGACGTCGGTGACGCACAAGTTAGACCTGGCTGCTCATGCTAAGTAAGCTAAGGACGTAGGGAGAAAGGGCAGGGATCGCAGGTGCTCTTCTCTGATAAGTTGTGTTACAGATTGCACTTGGCACGTAGAAAGGTATTTTTTTTTTTTGTATTAAAAGATTTCTCCTCATAAAGCAGTAGCCAGAGTATTTACTTGCATAATTTACCCCCTTCCTCTATATTTTTGCCTTTCAAATAAAAGAATGTTGACTAGAGGAGACTGCTGATTGAGAAAGACGTAGACAAAGGTTCTTGGGGGGCTTATGAAGATGATTTCCTCATGAGTCAGGGAGCTTCCTGACATTTAAGGTATATATGTAGGTTTTGGTTTTGTTTATTTTGTTTTTTAAAGGAGAAACTAGTTTTCATAAAGGCGCTCAGGTGGTCTAGTGGGTATAAAATTGTGCTGCTAACTGAAACACTGGTGGTTCAAATCAAGAGCTGACCCGTAGGAGAAAGAGGCCAATCTCTCATAGTTTACCGCTTTTGAAAACCTGCTAATGGGTCATTTAACTGGATGCAAATGAGATTTTTGAGAGCTCTCATGAGGTTCTTCAAAGGTGAAGGTCCTAAAATTGTTAGAGATCTGTTGGCTAGGAAGCCCTTTGAACCACCATGTCTGGGTAGTGCAGTATGTGTGCTTTACCCAATCATTGTGCCTTCTTGAGGACCCATACTATTTACTTATTTAAGACACGACTACAACATCCAGACTGCGAGTATTTCTCTTACTTTTGAAATCACCAGGAACTTACTTCAGAGAAAAACTTAGTTTGGGAATAGACTATTCTCATTTTCAAACTCGCAGAAAAGTTACTGAAAGCGTGGTGAACACTCATGTGGCCTCACCCTTGATCCAAGAATCAACATTTTTGCCAGTGCAGCTTTCATTTTCTCTATATTCAGTTATTTTTATCCAAGACCCTTGGAATGAGTTGTGTGTACATGGGGTTTTTCATGACTACATACTGTTGACTGTCCTAATCACAGTGTTAGTAAGGCAGTGAACCATAATCCTGCCATCCAGTAGCCCGTGTTTAAACTTCCTTATTTATCTCAGCCACTTTGTTGTATTTGGGTGGCTTCCGTTCTGCTATGATGTTGAAAGATACACCTCTGGTGTTTAAGATAGCAGCAGGTTCACCTCAGGTGACTAGGTTTCAACCGAGATTCTGGACTGAGACTGAAAAGAAGGACCTAGCAATGGACCACTGGGAAACAGTCTCTGATAGAGGGCCAGTAGGTAGCCCTTCGGTTGGACAGCATTCAAAGCCCCTACCTCCTTAAGGAAGAACCATGTTGTGGAGTCACTTCCAACCCATTGGCAACCCTTTATCAGGTTTTTGAGGCTGTAAAATCTTCATGGGAGAAGACTGCCTGTTTTTCTCCGCAGAGCAGCTTGTGATTTTGAACTGCTTACCTACCTTTTAACATCTCAGTAATGAGGTAGATAGAGTAAAACTTGCAGGACTTGTATTTGATGATGTGGGACCATCCAAAATGAGGCACAATAGTTGTAAACATCTAGTAATAATTGGAATATGAAATGTGTGAAGTATGACCCCAGGATGAGAAATTGCTAAAAAATGAACATAAACATTGATATACTAGGAATTGTGTGGTGGGTTTTTTCCCCATTCATAAAAGGTTTTATTTATTTATTTATTTTTATTCATTCATTGTTGCGTATTTTCCTCCCACTCTCTCCCTTTCCCCTCCCCAGTCCACCTTGCAATGCATATATAATGCCTAATATATTCGTTTTAGATATACCAGGAAATACTGTTGTGTGCCATCGAGTCTAGCCCATAGCTGACCCTCTGGGGAGTTTTCGGAGGCCGTAAATTGCACAGGAGGGGACTGCCCATCCTTCTGCAGAGCAACTGGTGGGTTGGAACAACATGCCTTTGGGATTGCAGCACAGCTTCTTACCACTAGGCCTCCAGAACTCCCTATATTTAGCTGAAAAAGGAGCTTGGTGGCATAGTGATAAGGAAGGCAGGCAATTTGAACCCCCCCAGCTGCTCTGTGGGAGAAAGATAGGCAGTCTCCTCCCATGTGATTTACTGCCTTAGTTGAACTTCAGGTTCAACTTCAAGTTGAAGTGGAAGAAAATGAGAACAAATTTATGTGAACAAGAGATCAATCTTGGCTGTCTCTTACCTGAATATAGAAACCAACTCAAGAATAGATTGGAAGCACTGAACACTAATGACCAAAGACCAGATGAGTGGGTGTTAAAAGGGATAACGTATATAGAGAAAAGGATTAAAAAGGTCATTAAAGAGTCAGGAAAGATAAAGAAGATCAAAATGAGTTGATATTTTCACAGTCCTTTGGGTCACTTTTCTTTGAAATGGGACCAAAATGTGGATCTCTTCCAGTCAGTTGGTCAGTCTTACCAGTTTCTTCTCATGGACTAGTAATTGCTTCCAGCATTATATCTGCGTGTTGAAACCGAGCTATTAAGGGTGAGTCTGCTGGAAAGATCATGAGCACAGCTTTTAGCATCATAGCAACATGTAAGCTACTCAAATATGATAAAGTTTATTTTGTAATAAGAAATTTTGAAAACTGTGTGTAAATTAGCTCAAATTAATGATGAAATAAAAAAGTTGGACAAAAGTTTTCAAAGGTTAGCACAAAAAGACAAAACATTGTAACGAAAGGTGCAAACGATAAGAATATACTTCACATTTCTCAAACTCCACTTGAACTGCTAGCAGTTAGCTTTGTACTCTCTAGCCATTTTTGAATAATCTTCAACAATATTTGGCTTGCATGTGATATTAATGATATTTCTTAATAATTTCCACATTTTTCTAGATCACCTTTCTTGGGAATAGAAACATGTCCTCTGCATTTCTTAGTACAGCTAAGAAATAAGCATGTCCAAGGCAGCATCTGTTTGTCGAAACATGTTCATTGGTATTCCATCAATTCCTGGGGCCCTATTTTTTTTTTTTTTTTTTTTTGCTTCAGTGTAGTTTGAGGTTTTTTTCTTCATCACTATTGGTGTTTGGTCAGATGTGACTTCCTGATTATGGTTCCATGTCAGCCAGTTCTTTTAATACATTGACTTAAGTGAATTTCTTTTTGTGGGTTGTTTTTTTGTTTTATTGTTTTTTGGATCGTTCTAGATTTTGCCTATACCAACTTCAGTATTGAAATTTGTGGCTTGATTTTTATTCTTCATTTCTTTTAGCCTGAGAAATGCCAAGCAAGTTCTTTTTTTTTCTTTTTTTTTTGTTTTCTGACTGCAGCTCTTTGCACATTTTATTCCAGTTCTTTGCTTTGTCTTCTTTAACTGCACTTTGAAACCTTGTGTTCAGCTCTCTACTTTGCCATTTCTTCCTTTGTTTTGCTTTTTCAGTGTTCTTGTGCAATCTTCAGTCTACTCTGACCTACACTTTGATCTTTTCGTTCTCCCCTGTCTTTGTAATAACCCTTTGCTCAGAGGGTGTCCTTGCTGGCTTCCGACAATTCGTCTGGTCTTTGATCATTAATGTTCAGTACTTCAAATGTGTTCTTGACATGGTTTTAAAATTCACGCGGGATAGACTCAAAGTTTTATTTTGTCTCTTGGGGCCTTGTTTTAGTGCTCTTTGTTGTCTGTCTGAAGTTGTACAGGTGTAGGTGGTCTGTGGCCCAGTCAGCACCTGGGCTGGTTTTGACTACTGATATTGAGTGTTTCCAACTCTTCTTTCCACAGCTGTAGTTGATCTGACTCCTGTGTAGTTAATCAGATGAAGGCCATGTGTGCAGTCGTCTTTTGTGTTTTTTTAAATAAGGTATTTGCAATGAATAAATCATGTAAAATTCCATCCTTCAGTCTCGCGTCTCTTTCTGTCACCAAGTCTATAATTTCTGACTTACCAATCTTCCTTTGTTTCCAACTTTTGCATTTCGCGCACCAGTTATTATTAATTAATCTCATTTGCAAGTTTTTTCTATTTCTGAGTACAAATGGGTCTTGCGGGTTTTAGATTGATTAGAGGAGTTCGGTGCTCATGTCGGCAGAGCTCCAGCGAATGTGTTTTGATGGCACATGAAGAGGGGAAGAAGTCTGCAGAAAGGAGCTTCTCAGCATTGCTAGAGAAGAAAGGGAAGGATGACGTAAACCCCTAGCTGGCTTTACTCTGAAATGCGCAAGGAATCCTGATTGATCAGAGGCTCCCTGAGTTGAGCTCTAGCGCACCTGGGGCATGGCCAGCCCCTCCCAGTGGGTTCTTCCCACCTGGCATGAGGGATGCTGGAGAGACCCCTAGCATGCTGTCTGTCTCCCAGAGTGCAATGCTGCTTAACTGACTCTAGTCTTCTATTTCTGCCCTGTCTTCTAGACCAACCAGAAGAATGGATTTTAGAGAGGCTTACTCCAACACTTGTTCTGCGGTTGGCCTTGCTGCCAGGGAAGGAAACGTCAAAGTCTTACGGAAACTGCTCAAGCGGGGACGGAGTGTTGATGTTGCTGACAACAGGGGATGGATGCCGATCCACGAAGCAGCCTACCACAACTCTGTAGAGTGTTTGCGGATGTTAATCCATGCAGGTAAAGTAAATCTGAGACGTAGAAGGCTGGGTCTACAAGCTGGATTAAGAAAATGTTTAAAATAAATGAGTAAAAAGCTAACATGACTTAACATGACTCATAGCTAACCCTGCAGTATGTTTTCAGAGGCTGTCAAAAGCACGACAGGAGATTCCCCATTTTTCTCTAGCAGAGAAGCTGGTAGATTTGAACTGCTTGCCTTTGGGATGGTAGCACAGCTCTTTGCCCAGTCAAGCCCCATGTAGTTGTTTTCTTCCTGTGATATAATCGTCAAATAACTACCTGTTGTTTATTAAGAAAAGTAAGATTGTTTGCCTAAGTTTACATCAGTATGTTGATGTAGTTAGAAATCCAGTAATGATTCCTTTTACATAGAATTGCTTTCTGGCCTGTTTTATTACCGGACCTGGGTGATGTGGCAAAAAGTAATTGACTATGTGAAGTTAAACACTTCAGAGTCACTGATGTTTATTCTTTCCTCCTTTTCCAAACAAAAGGAGCAGTGTTTCTGAAATCGAGGGTGTGTTTTGTTTGAGGTGTGCCTTTTTTTTTTGTATGTGTACTTTTTAGCTGTTTTTAAGTTTTGTGACTCTTTCCAGTACTTTTTATTTGTGGTAAAAAGTCTTTCCATATCCTTCAGAAGCTAATACAATAACTAGGGGAAAAATACTGTCTTGGTCATATTTAGTGCCAGTGAAGCATGCTGTGCACTTTAGGGTCAAATGAGATCTGGGTGACAGCGGACATTGTGAGGATGGTTCGGGACCAGACCAGGTGTCATCGGGTCACTCTGAGTGGGAGGCAACGCCATGGCACCTAACAACATCCTTGTTAATGTGTTTGAAACACTGCATAATAAAAGGCATATAAAAATAATATTTTAAAATGCATCTGTTTGTGTGTATATTCTCTCTCTCTCTCTTTCTCTCTCTCTCACTCACACACACACACACACCCCTTTATGGATGTGTTTTCATACGTAAATATATGCCTAAACTAAAAATACACAGATCATAAAACCTTGCTCTGATAATGGACAATGTTGCTGCTTTGTCATTTGCAGTAGTAATTACACTTGTGGAAGATTCTGGATCATCTGGGCCGTCCCTGGGAATAGGGGTGGACAGTCCGTTTAGTTAGAAAATGAGAGTTGTCCGTCTGATCCTTTTGATTTTTCTTCACTTAGTTCATGTTAACATCTCACTGCTTCCTCAATCTGCTCTTTGATTTCTAGTGAGGTGATTGGTTTTTAGGTCTGTGTTCTCAAGTAAGTGAAGCCTCTGAATTCTTTTAGAACATTAACTCTATATGTTAGTGTTTTAAGTCATAAAAATTCAGCATTTAGGAGAAGGCATCTCAGAGTGGTAACACCAGCATTGCTCACTCTTGTGTCCTTGTGGTAATGTGCTGTGCTACCAGCTCAAAGGCACGTGGTTCAAATCCCTAGCTGCTCTATGGGAGAATGATAGACAGTTGCCCCTGATGCAACTTACTGCCTCTGAAAACTTGCTGAAGGGTCAGCTATGAGTTGGTTGCTACTGGACAGCATATATATCACACACACACACACACACACACACACACACACACACACTCACTCCCCTCCATATATATAGGACATGTTAGTAGTGAAAAGATGTTAAAACAATAGAAATGGACAGTCACTAAGTGCTGTTCTTTGGAACATGAATAAATCGTAAGTTGGAGACTTTCTGAATATGTATCTCTGGGAGGATGATGTTATCATTAAATTGATTTTGGCTCAGAAGAGTACAGTAGCCGGGGATCCAAGATGGCGGTGGGGGCAGAGACAGTGTGGTGAGCTGCGGGAGCAGCAAACCACTTAAAGCAGGGCCATTATGGCCTTCCACAGACTTCGGCTTATTGGTAATTGAACACTTAAACAGTTGATGACTGGCCCTCAGTGAAGATCGAGGCTCAACAACAGGAATTCAAGGACTCCCAAGGAGAAATGGGTGAAGAAATGGGTGAATCTCGTGGCTCCCACCCCCCTCCCGCAGAGCCTGCGCCACGCCGCACAACCACTGCAGCTCCATGAGGCTTCCACAGCCGGAACGAATGGATTCCCTCACCCAGGATGGATGCTGGGCACCGGCCCTCCTCAAGACTGGTACAGTGCAGCCACCACACTGCCGCAAGGTGGACTTGTTCTGGAGAGAATTCTTGGAGCCAGGATGGTGGCAGTGGGGGAAGCGGGCGCCCGCCGGCCACCCGCACAAGAGGGGCCACGCACACGCCGAACGGCTGGGTGGGGGGGCGCACCCCCAAAGGCCGCCCGCGCTGGAGGGGGGACGCGTGCCCCGCTGGCCGCCTGCATAGGAGGTGGGGGATGGGATGCATGCCCGCCATCTGCAGGTTTGGGTTTCTTTGGACAGGCCAAAGAAGACGATTACCTATAAATGGATTGCTGAAAGTCACTGTGAGTCTGATGACCTTAACAGTGGCAGCATGCACAAGAGGACCGACATCCTAAATGCACCACATATTTTGTTCTGTTGAATGCTTCTGCCAAAAGATGGTTAGACCTGGGGGGAGTCTGTTCACAATTCTCAGGTTCCCTTTATCATATATAAGGGGGAGGGCAGTGACACCTACTTCAAAATATAGTATGACCACTTATGGGGGAGTAAAAGTGGCAGTGCTGGAACTGGAAACACTATTCCTGACCACAGAGTCCTCAGTTAGGCGAGGGGACCAGACTGGGGTAGGGGCAATTGGAGGGGGAGTATACCAGCCAGCTCCTGGGGGGTGTTGCCCTGCTCGGGACGGGCTGCCCTTGGCCCCCGGCTCGGGGCGAGCCGTTGCGGCCCTCTGCCCGAGATGGGCTGCTCTCGGCCCCTGGCTCAGGCAAGCCGTCGCAGCCCTCTGCTCAGGGCGGGCTGCCCTGGCCCTGGCTCGGGGTGCCGTTGCGGCCCTCAGGGTGAGCTCCTCAGCCCCCAGATTGTGCCATCTGACCCCTGGGTGGGGAAGGAAAAAAAAAAAGAATGCCTAGAGTATCCAGAGAATGTTACTTAGACCACCTTCTGCCACCCTCCCCCCCAGTAAACCTGAAAGCAACACCCTCAAAGCCCTTCTGTTTGTAACTCACAAGTTT